TTGTGAAATTTTTCAACTAGTTTGTTATAATTCTTATTAGTTGGCATATCGTCTTGCACCGTTTGTTGGTAGACGTTGGTTCGAATCCAGCCGGATCAAAGGAAGTTTTTGTAAGTGTTCCATGTTTGTACTAATAATTATTATGAAGCTTTCTTAGTACAATCACTGCGACAATAATGACAAAGCCTTAAAACATAAATATGTGTAAAAGACATATAAATATCTGTCGTTTACATTAAAGAACCTCTAGTCGATGTTTAGACGCCATTCTGTCCGCAGTAAAAGTGAAACACAACACCTCCACACTCAATTTTTCTTTTGATTTGATCAAAGAACTTGTTCACGGTCGTCCTCGTTCGCATTTGCCATTTTTTCTTTCGTCGCTTAATGATGTTGTCATGTCGTACTTCTCTATTCAATTCCAACTATTTTCAAAACGTTTCTGCTAAGCTTCACGATTGTTATTATCTCCTTAAAGATCATTCTCTCTGTCTAGCGGATTCTGTCTATCTACCTCTAATTTTTCTTAGTCGTTATCTTCATTGCTGTAGGTTGTGTGTCCGAATGGTTTTCAAGACTTTATGGACGATTTTCTTCCATCTGGTTGTCTTCGGCCTCTCTCAGGGCAGTTGTTATAGGGAGGTCAGCGAGGGCGGTCACTTGGCCACTAAATCGGCTAGGTGAACGACACTCTACCTTACCACCACAACCAGTATGTCAAGGTTATCTGGTTGTCGGCAAGCAATATGACCAAAATACTGTAGGATACTGGTAGAATAGTGTGGAAAGCCCGTCAGGGATATGATGTTACTCAATTATGGATTGGTTTGTTCTTCTAGCAGTCCACGGTGTTCGGAGCATTCTTCTCCAACACCACATCTTGATAGCGTCTATTTTTTCCGTTTTGATGCCCGGATCGTTCACGACTCTGAGCCATATAGAAAAATCGAGAAAAACGTTGGAGACTTTTCTGCTGCGCCAGGTGCGCCTTAGCTTGCTCATAGCAGCGTTGGCTATTTGAATCCGTCTCTTGTTCTCTCGTTCACTTCCGTCCTGGTTGGTAAGTAAAGATCCGAGGTATACAATATCGCTAACGAATTCAAGATCTGAGAGTTCTCCAGTCCTAGAGAGTTGGCCGAGCCTATCGACGGTCATGACTTTTTGTTTGACTTGTTGATGGTGAGTCCAACCATAGTCCACTCTCAAATTCAATAAACACCTCTGAAAGGCAATGAAGAGGTTACACATAGTTTAGTTTGCCTGTTGTTATTTTTAGTATAAATGAGGAAATAAACAATATGCCTACAATATGTTTGTCGGTCGTAAAACTAAGTATACTTATTTTGCTATAAATAAATTAGACGCTTATAGAAACGATACAGTGGCACCACTGTGGCGCTACGGCTGCGCCATTCCCAATTTTACAATTATTACAGCGACAGCCGCTGGTAACTGTAACAATACCTGACTGAGTAAAGAAAACCATTATAGATTTCTCACAGAAGGCGATTCGGTAAAAATATCGTTAAAACCGAAAATAGAGATCTGTAACAAGCACACAGAAAAAATCGCAAGGTCTGCTGGTACTACGGAATGATCGTATTTCAGTTGGGAGAGGGTCAACCACGGTATGGTGAAGGCGTTGGTTCATGTTCAGCCGGATCCTGAATCTAAATGATTTTTTTTTTGTTCGTTCTGTGTATTAATTATTAGAACAAATTACTGGAGTAATTTCACAAAAAATAATTGAATATCATTGTGATAGGACATCGGGATATTCAACTTAATAAATATGCTAAAAATGGTCTGAAAAGAAGCATAAAGAAAACATACTAGAGATTTCTGATCTAGAAACCGCGCCTTGGGGTATAGGCTCCACGAGGCAGGCAAAACCTGCCGACCTTCTGGGCAACAGAACTTTAAAAATTAAAAAAATAAGATATCTGATAGCATTCATTTTAAATTTCACAGGTCACAAATCAGATTTCACTTTCAAGTAACTCGGTGGTAAATCAAGACTACCTGGAAAAACATATAGAAAATTATTTAACATTTTTTTAAAGGCGATCTTTTGCAGCGTGTGTTTTTGTCTTCAACAAAGCAGATTCCTGATGCCATCTTTAAATGACAAACTTTCAGGAAATGTCATCCAATTTTCTGAAATTAACTTTAAATTTGAATAAGCGAGCATTTTTGTTTGGTATTGGCCGTGACGTGCGATATTGATATAAGTACAAACACTCGCTCACAAATACACACCCGAACAAGCACAAACACACACATTTATTTTAATTTATACTGTGCTGTTTAATTTAATAATTAGATAACCTTTTTTTGCTTCATTTAAATTCACTCTTTGTTAGCAGTACTTCTGAGTTCAGAACGGGGCCATTTTAAATACTTAATTGGTAAGTCTCGACGTCTATTTATAACCTTTGGTGACAGTAACAGGTTCACAAATCTGAATTTTATTCAACACTATACATACAATAGCACAGAGAGACATACAAACTCACATACGCAACCATACACACACGCAAACACCAAATTACCCAATTTATAGTTTATGTCAACCATTTTCTAGGTATTTCGATTTTTTTTTATAAATACCACCCTCAATAATAAAGTGACGAAACCTAAGAGTCGATACAAACCCCAATAACTTTAGATAATCCCGCATAACAGTGAAATCACTTTGGAAAAAAATATATAGTAAATATCGAGTTCTTAGGTTTTCGCGATTGTTACACATAGGAAATGAAACTATTTTTCCAGATTTAAATCGCGTATATTTGTTTTTTCAAACAAACCGACGTTTCGGGCCCTTTACAGGTCCCGTGGTCACGGTTGACTGAGGTGGTACAGTCTTCAACCAGTCGGTTTGTTTGAAAAAACAAATATACGCGATTTAAATCCGGAAAAATAGTTTCATTTCCTAAATATATAGAAAAATTGAGGATATAAACTGATTAGTATACGGTGTGGAAACACGATTCCTAAGAACTTTCACGATAGAAAAAAAACACAAATCACTATCGAAATTTTACAAGAAAACCGCCGAAGAAAACCAACGGTTTTATTTATATCAACTAAACTATATAGAACACGTATACTATAGTATACATATTTTTCAAATGGCATTTAATTCCGTTTGTAAAAAAAATAATTCTGGAATGAAGCTAGTGCCCTGCCGCTCGACCTAAGCAAGCGTATTAGTACGGCAAAAGTTTTAATCGAAAGAAGTTCGGTTTTTGTGAAACTGACTAAATAAATTTGGATTAAAAACTTATAAATTAAAACTTAAATATTATTCTGAAATTCGTATCTAAAATCGCGCATGTTCGTGTTTTCAACCAAACAAACGTCTCGAGATCTTCGCAGGTCCTATTGCCACAGCTGTTTGGGAAGGTATTATTGATCATAAACCAATTCTATCGTATATTGTAACAAACCAATGTTTACAAAAACCGAATTTTTGTGAAGATCGATTCAACTGCATACGGTCTAGTGATTTTTTGTATCGATTCATTTCAATGCGATTTTTAAGTAAATCGATTTAACATTAAGGCGAATCGAATCGTCTAGACTAGAGTCCTTTTCTGAACTCCTATTTTATATTGGCCTCCAAGAAAAGCGATCTGGTACCATCTAAGTACAATAAGTCTACAATATTTATTTATTTAAACTACAATACACTGCAGTACAAATGGCGGACTTAATACCATAAGGCATTATCTACCAATCAAACATTGAGTCAAATAAAAAAAAACCATTGGGTTGGTGCTACACTTAAATCGGAACAACAATATACTCACTATCAAAAAGTCGTAGCCGATTGAAGCCAAAGAGGTTGTCAAAATGTGTTTCTATCGAAATTATTTTTGAAACAATCGATTCAGGAGCATAAGATCCGATCTGTGGATCAATTCAGAGGCAAATGATCCATTACGATCCAAAAAATCGATTCAAAGCAAAAATTCGTGCATCCCTGGCTTAAATTTCAACCTGCACCAATCGCGAAACCTAAAAACTAGATGATAATATACCACCACATCTATTTCTATTGATGGTGATGAAGCCACAGGCACGTTGGACTTGTCAACTTTATGTCTAGGGTGACGGGAGCATTGGCAGTGCCAATCAGTTCTTTGCGTTTTAAAGCTCTGAGTGGCACTGCAATTGATATGACGATATACAGGCGTGAATGCTTACCGCAATTATTCGTCCCATTACTTGACAATCATAAAAAAGCTATTTCAAAATTTAATTTTTCATATTTGTTAGAAATTTGTCAAATCTCGCATCAGCCAAATGGCATATTTGACATGTACGTATTTTTTTAAATTATTTTGTGATTTTTTTAAATTCACTTTTCGCGGTTGCGTCATTTTACTATCAAGAGTGACATTAATGTTTACTAATTTTTTGAGTTTATAAAACACTGTTACAAAACTTGTAGAACTATGTTAGTTGGATTCGTTTAATAATTTTAGAATCATCTTTAAAATTCATCTAAAAATATCATCAACATCCTTTTGTATTACTTACATTACACGTACATGCCTGTTTCTCCTTGGGGTAGGCAGATACTACGCCTACCTACGCACGGCACGCTTCTAACAAACCTTCGCCTATATACAGTGAAGTCCTAACCTGTTAACAGATCGCAATTTCAATATTTAAAGCCTAAATCGACTTGATTAACTTACAGCGAGTGAGCAGCGCGCTATTAAAGAATAACATAACAACGACTTAGGACCTACCTATAACATAAAAAAGCGTTTATAACGCACCATAACAGTGTATAACGTATCATAAGAACAAATAAATGGCAAGTATGAAAACTCTGTGATTAAAAAAGTACATATTTTGTTCACATACTTTGTTAGTTAAAATATTTGTTAATCTATTATATCATAGTATTTACGTTCCACAAATGGGCGTAGATCTAAACATTGTGTGAAGTGACAGTGACTGAAATGGAATAAAAAGTGGTCATTATGAGTGGACTCGGGCCGCCGGGTGTTTGGGCCGCACAGAAGCGTCTGGAATCTTGGGCTAGGGCCGCCAGAGAACGCACGTCGAGTGCCAGCAGCGGACAGAGTCATAACTCCACCGACAGCTTTGGTGATGACAAATCCCATGGAAGCCCTAGTGTATGTATAATGTAGTTTTGTTGTCTTGTATAAGATTTTTTTTTAATAATAACAAATACAAAGTTTTGCAAAAGTAAGTTTGAAACATAGGAAATGAAACTATTTTTTCGTATCCAGATCGCGTATATGTTTTTTTTAACCGACTTCAAAAAGGATGAGGTTCTCAATTCGACTGCATTTATTATTTATATATGTTACGTGGTTAGTCCAGCATTTGTGAACCGATTTTGATGATTCCTTTTTTGTTGGAAAGAGGGTACCTCAGTATTGGTCTCATTTAAATTTGAAGAAATATTCCACCTCTAAGTGTGGCAAACTAGGGAATGAATCCGGTTTCACGCACTTCCGTTAACCGATTTCAATAAAACTTGGCAAATAGACGTAATTCCATGAACTGTTGATGTCGGTTTTTTATAAAAAAGTTGTAATTATCAAACAATCCAACGTTTCGGGCCCTTTACAGGTCCAATGGTCACGGGTGACTGAGATGGTAAAACCATCAACCAGTTATGTCTACTATGAACACTAACTTTATTGTTTTTGTTATACTTTATATTTATTACAGAGTTATGTCTAATAATATTCATGACTTTTACATCTCAGTCAGCCGTTACCATGAGATCTGAAAAAACAAATATGCGCAATTTAGATCCGAATAAATAGTTCCATTTCTTATGTGTCAATCGCGAAACCCTAAGGTGAAAAAGTGAAACTTCAAAAAAACGCACACATAGTTGTAATAAAGCCATATTTATCTGCAAAATGACAATTTTCAAAAGAGGGGCTTATAGTTTCTTCGAACGTAATTAGTCAATACTTTGATTTAAACTTACACGATTTTCACACATTGTTAGATTTTTAATTCGGGACTTAATCATGTATAAAACATATTTTAATTACCGAGTGCCAACCGTAGTGCACAAATAAATAATGAAGATTTGGTCAAATTACAGACACATGGGACTTGTCAACTTATGTCTCAGGGTGACGGGCGTAGTGGTAGTGCCCCTCAGACCTTTGCATATGAAAAATCTGAATGGCATTGTAACTGTTATACTTCAGTTGCAATACGTCCGAAACGTCGATGTAATTAAAATACGTTTTATACATGATTAAGTCCCGAATTATAAATCAAATAATGAAATTAGACAATAACTTTTTTAAGCCTAGCTAAGGGACAAACCACACCTACCGTTGCGGAATCGCATTAAGCATTTCAGAAAAGGCTTTAAGTCCATGAACATAAGACGAAAAAGACGTTATGCGTTTCGCATCGGTTCGTACGAACGCGGCTCGACATAGGTCGTCAACGAATATGCTTACTGCGAACTTCCGATCGCGTCCGTACCCATGCCGACATGGGCTGATTCTAGTTTAGAAACAATTACCGTTTAGGCACCCGTACGTCTGCGTCAGCGGCAAATTGGTTTAATGCCACAAGTGTTGTAAAACATGAATGAATGAATTAATGAAATTTTATTTATTTCTCAATCACAAAACAGGCTTAAGAGTAAGGAATTTAAGGTTAAATACAAGATTAAAAATTGGTCAGACTATTTTGTGAGAGACTGGTGCCCGAGATAGGTATAGGAAAACCTGAATTACGGGTCACCAGGCTTCCACTCTGCAGTTGAGCAATTTGGTTGTGGCACAGAGGTTGTGACAAAAGGATGAAATACATAAAAGTTAGTGGAATATTCCTGATTTAGAATAATAAAGGTACTAGTGAACTAAACTTAGTATTTAAAAAAAACTCTCTCAAGGTTTAACACTAAGTAAACTCACAATATGAAAAGTGTGAGAATGAGTGAGGGAGTGTTTATAAGGTGAATGCTTAGAATAATAACGCATAGAAACCTAGCCCGCACACGCTAAGTGAGGCAAATTGAAGCGCTCCCAATGGGCCTACACGAACGGGCGGGCCGTCAGTGCTCAAGGTCAACTTGCACCGCGAACAGCTCCAGAATTTTAGCTTAAATGACGATGTGCGGTAAATGAATGTAAAACTACGTCAGACAAACATAAAATAGAGACTAACATCACATTCCACAAGGAAGTAACGCGTTTCAACTTGTATTTTTATATAAATATTCACTAAAACCGAAAATTAACCTACTACTAAAACTAGCCTACATGAATTTGATTTTTGCCTCACTTGTGACAGTTCGTTTGATATGAAACTATCATTCTATGCGTTATTATTCTAAGGGTGAATGTGTTACTGATTAGGTGTTGAATGATGAAACATGATCGCCTCAAGCCGGTTCCGCGCTGTTAAGTGTGGTTTATCCCTAAGAGAGTTAAGAAATTTCACATAAACAGAATTTGTCTTGCGTATAGAGTATGTGACGCGTGATCACATGTTACTTTATTATATTATGGGTACGAAAACAGTGTCCTTAATTATTTTTGGCTAAAATTTTTTGTTGCGTGTATAGATGTTACGTTTTTAGACGTTTAGAATAACAACACCTTTTAGCAGTAGAACTCCTTGTTAAAAAGTTCGTCCAGGAAGGTACTGCTACCTTACCTATTTATGCCGCCAAGCAGTAATGTGAGAAATACTGCGTTCCGGTTTCGAAGGGTAAGGGTGCTGCTGAAAATACAGGCACATGAAACTTGTCAGCTTATGTCTCAGGATGTCGGGCGCAGTGGCAGTGTCCCTCGGATCTTCGTGATTTAAATCTCTCAGTGGCGCGCGACCGTCCTGTCACTTATTGTTATATAAAAAACTAAATCATAGAAGCGTCCCCTCTCTATCCCGGTTAACATCATCTTTCATCCATTTGAAAGTATTGCCGATAAATCTTACGCGCAGAAAACTGGGTAAACTAACTTGTTCATTAACTTTTGTTTAACAATGAGTTTTGTATATGAAATTTCATTTCAACTTTTTGTTTTGGGATATCAAGTGACGGGATGAATACGTCATGCGGTAGCATGCGACACGCCTATCTGCAATGTGTTCATTGGAGCCTACGCCATCTTAATTTTAGAATCTGTTCTGTTTTTTTGTTTCTTTAATTTCTTTTCACATAATTCGTTTTTTTTCGAATTTTGTTTTTTTTTCTCAAAATTCGAAGAGTATAATATTACTAAATAAATATGGCTGTTTACAAAAATAAATGAAAACTACCAAAAAAAGTAAAGTTGGCGTAGTATTTACTAGATATATCGAATCTATTACAGTGTAGTGTTGCATCGCAACAAATTCTCAATTGCATCGATACAAATGCGCAATTGCATCGATACAAACGCGCGATTGCAGCTCTACAAATGCGCAATTGCATCGATACAAATGCGCAATTGCATCGATACAAACGCGCGATTGCATCGGTACAGACACGCGACTGTATCGATACAAACGCGCGGGTATAAAGGTAGATGATTAGCGATTGCATCGCTACTGCATGGCGTTTATAACCGCTTTGAAATCACAAATATCTGAGGAGCACTGTCTTTGTCACCCTGAGACATAAATTTGACAAGTCCCATGTGAATTTGACCAAGTACCCCCAATTTACTGCTTGGCGACAGAAAAGGGACCGGTTTTAACTCGGCGCTTTGTTAACGCCGGGTTTAAATCGGGTTATACCCATTAATGCCTGATCTCAACGGCAAAAACTATTTACAATTAAAGATTTGCTGTAAATCGAATTTTGTTCAAAAATGGTATTATTACAAAATGTTTATTGCTGTCTGATCGAAACGACTCGATTTGCCTTTCTAACAATAATAATAACGTGCAAACACTCATAGCTTTTCCCTAGCTATGAGTGTTTGTGTCGCGGAGGCCATGGACACATACATAGACAACCACAAAAAAGGGATTCACAGGTTAGCAAGGTGTGGATTTGTCTCTTTTTCGTCTAAAAAAGTTTTTTTACATCAGCTGCAGCTGCGAATCTGACATTTTTCCCGTTTGGCATTTTGCGTTTCTGACAGAATACGCCATACGTAATACGTATACGCAAAATTCCGTATTCGCCGTTTCCTCCCACGATTTTGAGCAGAAGTGGGTAAACACCCGGGCGAGTTGATTGGGTTTTAACCCACTGCCCGTCTCTGGTGGCAGTACTTCCCTGAACGAACTCCTCCACAAGGAGTTCTAAATTATATATATATATACGTATATTTATAACACTTAGTATGCACGGATTACTTACGAAGTTTGAAGTTAAAGGGATGGAAAGGGTGTGTCTTCAGAGATCGTATACAGGGGTTATCAAATGAGTTAACCGTACATCAGCCGCATGATGTGTTTATAAACCAGCAATATAAGCTGAGTATATTTATCTTAACTTCAAGGTATGTCTGTCTTACACATTTATGAGGCCAGCGTTTTTGTAAAAGTATATTTACATTTATTTCCTATAGCTATCGGCATAAACATGATGTTATTATTATTGATACAAAATTTGAAAACGATGTAATCGCCTACAAGTCCCGAATATAGCGATACAAACGCGCATTTGTATCGTTGCTTAAAATCGCGCGCGTGTATAAAGGTATACGAATAAGCGACTGTAACGCGTTTGCATCACTGCTAAAGGTAGTCGTGTGTAACCGCTCTTAAAATGAAGAAAAAAAACTGTTTATTGTACAAACACATACACGCATTTAAACAAGAAAAAACAGGAACAATAATAAAAAAAATTAAAAACAGTATTAAAGCAATTAGCATGATTTATGCACCAATTTACCGTCATGCGTGTCGCAGATGGTACAATCGGGACTTGCTCAGCTTTAGCCACAATCGGTTTTTTTTAAAACCGTTCGTGACGCTGATTTTCAGCAAGCCTGGGGCGAGTGAGCCACAGATAGCAATAAAAATAGATAAGAAAACCTAATAAAAAATGTATATATAACTATATAGACACGTGAAATACTTATAATACATAATAGTACATTACTGGAGAGGCCGGGAAGTAAAGGATTGCTGGACGAGTATGAGTTACAAGACCGAGGGCTTTTATTAATACGAGTCTTGCAATCCCCGT